TATGGAAGCCTGTTGAGTTCACCGACTTCGATCTTATTCCAACAGGGTCATAGTCAAAGTGGAAGTTCTCTCCTCCCTTCAGAGAAAGGTACCTCTTTCTTTGATGACCTGTTATTTCCACTGGGATCTCACTCGCAGAGATCTTTCATTTAGGTTTCCTTTTTTTTTTTTTTCTTTTTTTTGCCAGAGTGTCTTGGCTTTCCATGCCTGAAATACTCTCATGGGCTCTTCAGCCATATCTGAATGCCTTTAGGGCTGATTCTGAGGCCAGAGTGCTATTTAGGACATCTGCCATTCTATGAGTCTGCTGTGTATCCCACTTCCCATGATGGATCGTTCTCTCCCTTTTTGATTCTATCAGTTAGTATTAGCAAACACTAGTCTTGTTTGTGTGATCCCTTTGACTCTTAGACCTATCAGTGTGATCAACTGTGAACTGAAACTGATCACTTGGAATAGTGAGATGCATTGGTACATGCCACCTTGATGGGATTTTATTGAAATCCCCTGGCACGATTCTAACTCCACCATTTGGGGCAAGTCCGATTGAGCATGCCCCAAATTGTACATATCCTCCCTCTCTATTCCCACTGTTATGATCTTATACTTCTAATTACAAATAATATTGAATATGTTAAAAATTAATCAAAACTAAAATCAAAAAGGGAAAAAAACTTTTAAAAAGAGGAACAAAAGTAAAATGTGTGCCAGCACAATTTTACAGATGGACATAATTCTAATTTGACATTCTGAATTACAAAGCATTCTTCACAGGATAGATTCTTACTAGGCCAATAGCTGATATTGAACTTTCTAATCATTCCAAGCTAATTGATTCCATTAAGAAAAATAATAAAAATACATAAAGAAAAACAAGTTTATTCAGACTTTCTTCACATGCATATTCATTTACCCACAAAAGAAAATAGTCACTATTTTAAGTTCTTTTGGCAACAAGTCAAAATATATTAACTAAAAAATCAACATTACGTGACGAGTCTTCAAAAATTTCATGAAAAATAAATGTGATGGAAAAATTGCATGACTTTCTTTTTTTGCACCAAAATAAACTTATCTTTAAGTTCCATTTTCCACAAATATCCCAAAAGACCCTTATTCTTTTAAATGTGTAGTAATGAGGTCTCCATACTAGACATCATTACTGATTAACTGATATTAATAAGAATTTATTTGAAAGGCAGAGTTAGGGAGAGAGAAAGATATTTAACTGATCTTTTCTAAGCAACAGCAACAACAAAGTACTATATATTTGTGCAGTCAAGTAAGCTTGGTAAAGTGCAGAATTTCAAATGATGAGCCAAAACACAAACATCATCTGAAGAATGCCACAGGACAGCTCCAGACAGCACTTTCTATTATTTCGTCTAGGATTCACCTAGTAACATAACAATTAGGAATGTACAGCCAGAATATTCATTGTAAAAGAATAACAAGCAGGCATAAGCAAGGGAGCCAAGCATATTGTGACATATTTATGGTGAGAAGCAAAAGTTCAAGTTGCTGCTGGCGGTCATGTTGCTCCTGGCTCATCTTCTATGTCCTTGGAGTATGATAAGGAGTTTTCCTAAAAGCAATATCTAATAATAACCCAAACCTTCTGCTTACTGCAGCCACATAGCATTTAGGAAGATATGCCTTCATAAGGCAAGGTCTGCTTGGGCAGAAGCAGGACCACAGCCATGTACAATATTCAGGAGGCTATGGCCTCACTGTGAACACTCAGGCAGTATCCACCACAGAAAAGATGAAATTTTTCCTATGTATTCCTGTAGTGGGATAGCTCACATTCAAAAAACGCAATGGAAAGGTACCTGCTCCTCTAGGGAATAGTGAAGACAGAACTTTTCTCTGACTCAGCGTGCAAAACTCCGTAAAGTGGATGGAATAATTATCATAAGGAGCCTGGGGCATTTTCAAGAGAAAGGAAAAATGAATATGGTGAATAGGTTGAGGTGTCACAGCCCTAGGAAAGATGTGTCCTGGGAAACATTTATGTGATCTAAAAGTATTGCTCACCAAGATCATTTTCTCCTTGCTTTGAAATCTTTTAGCTTTGGATTTTCTGATCTGAATTTATCATTAGGGAAGCTACCAAACCTTGGATAATTACTATGTCTGTAAGAAACCTCCATTCAGCCAATAAGAGATGCCAAGTTATGGCTATGATGGTAACACACTTTCAAGTCACTTGAAAGACTTTTACCATAATAAAGACTGCATGCTTGTCATGCACACAGTACTTATTGTAAAACCTACTTCATGGACATTCTGAAGTCATCCACCTTTTCCTTTTCCCTCAAAGTAGATATTGCCATTATTCACTGAAGCTTACCTAGTGTAACGTCCTCACCTCGGTAGCATCTCCTAAGTCTCTTGGACACAGTTAGAGAAGAAACCACAGCTCATGCTATCATGTTTCAGAAACTTCATAGACTGATTTTGTCCCAGAGAAAGTGTCCGTCTCACTGCCACCAAGATCAAAATCAAGTCACAAATGACAAAATTCTTAGAGCCATAGATGAGCACTTTTGGTGAACAGACCATACAGGTAGACTTCAAAAGGTTCATGGGAAAGCGAAATTAAAAGGTAAGTTTATTTTGGCACAAAAATTTTAAAATAAATCCATAGTTTCCCTGAAAAATTTGAAGACACCTCATATCTTCAGTGAATACTACTAGGATATGGAAGGTATTTATAATTCTGAAGATTTCTTTCTTTAAATATGATTATGACTTTCACGCAGCTACTTCATATATTTTGCAATATTAGAGAATGATATTCAAGGAAAGCAGAATATTAGACAAGTAAAAATAGATTTAAAAAAAACCTATCTACTTCTACACTCACCCTGTATGTATAGGAAGAATCAAAATCACACCTGGTTTTATGAACATGGACTTGCTTTCCTTTTATCTTCAGTAGCAAGACTTTTTCCAAAGAACTGTTCTGATGATTCATTATGAGACCTTTCTTAAAGATCCCTTGAAAGGCAACATCAATAAGCAATTGAATCACTCACTTGAAAATCCTTGCCCTGCTGCTTCAACCAATTCTGAACTGCTATATCCTTGTCCTGATTGAATTTTCATGAAACCTACTCCCATTTTGGGGAAAAAAAAAAAAAACTGGTTTGGGAACTGTCATTTCCTCAGTCATCCTAGAGAACCCTGGGCCCAGCTCACAGTGCCTGCTGCAAGAGCAGTGTGCATGAGGGGAACAGAAATGCAAAACAATCTCACAAGAGCTGCTGGAGACCAGGCAGCACTACCAGGAGCAGCTGGGGCTGGAGGCCACGAGCTTCCTAGGGATTCTAAAAGCCAAGGAGATCATGGGATCGCCAAGTCCAGGCCCTGTTTGGGCTCTGGGGCTCATCTATACTACTAGCCAAGAGAGGCTTCCTCACCTGGAAGAAGGGCAATGGGAACATGGCCTGCAGGGCTTCTGCCCCCACTTGAAACTCCACACTCAATTTGCTGCCAAGGCAGAGAGGTCTTGGCCACCCTGTAGGAGCAGCTATGGAAAAACAAATGTTTCTGGAGGTTTGTGAAGCTTCAAGAAGGCCATCAAGACTTTAGGGCCTTCAGCCCCCAGACTTGCTTCTTCTGCCCTGAAGAGGCTCCAGCACTGTCCTTCCCCAGCGAGAAGCTACTGCTTTTGTCCACAGACCAGGAGGAGCTATCATCCTGGCACCACAGTCTAACTTTTGGCCTTCAGCAGCCAGAAGAGCTAGAGGAATCTTACAAACTCTGGAACCCAGGATACTTCAGAGATAGGTCTGAACCAAGAGTGCAAAGTAATCTTCAGTGCAGAACAAAACACAAAACTCTTTATGGTTTGACAAAGCTCATTTTACATTTCCTGGGACCAAGCCATTCTGGGTTATTTGACCAGTTTTTTTGTGGTTGTTGTTTTGTTTTTGTTTTTGTTTTTTGTTTTTTTTTGGTTTTTTTTTTTTTTTTGACAGGCAGAGCGGACAGTGAGAGAGAGAGAGACAGAGAGAAAGGTCCTCCTTTTGCCGTTGGTTCACCCTCCAATGGCCACTGTGGCCAGCGCACCGCGCTGATCTGAAGCCAGGAGCCAGGGGCTTCTCCTGGTCTCCCATGCGGGTGCAGGGCCCAAGCACTTGGGCCATCCTCCACTGCACTCCCGGGCCACAGCAGAGAGCTGGACTGGAAGAGGGGCAACCGGGAAAGAATCCGGTGCCCCGACCGGGACTAGAACCTGGGGTGCTGGCGCCACAGGTGGAGGATCAGCCATTGAGCCGCGGCACCGGCCATGACCAGTTCTTATGAATCATGAAACCAGGTCTGAGTCAACTAAACCTCCATTGAACCAGTCTCTCCAACATGGATGAGGGGATTTGGGAATGACAAGCTCAGTGCTATGTCTGTGGCCAACTGTTTATGAAAGTTGCAACTTTGGAAACATGGCTATTTTTACATTACGTATATTTCTACAATTTATTTTCCCATTGAATTTAATAAAGCGTTTTCTGGGGGGAGCAAAAAAAAAAAAACTGCTTTAAATCAAACTTCAATTCTCAACAAACACTGAATTACTGAATTTAACTTCTTCCACTCCAAGACACCATCAGAGCCTACTATGGTAGCCTTCTCCCTTATCCAATAAGGTATACATAGAGGTTGGTCTTATCAACAGCTTCCACTGGTAACATTTGAGGATTGAGAAATTACATGTGACAAAGAGAACTCTGACACACAACTTTTGTAGCAGTAAGTTCAGAGGAATCAGGACTTGGTCAATGACTGCCAGCTTCCCTGAGTTTTGCCCATTTCCAACATAGGACCAACAAAAGAAAACTAATCATGCTCCCCAACTAATCACAAATGATGTTCCCCATTGTAGCTAGCCCACTTCGAGCTTCCTCAAACCAGTAACCCCAAATCAAACAAAACTGAAATCTTTACATACCGATCTTTTTATCTTATAAAGTTTTTCTATGCCCCTAGGGGTTTACCTTTGAGTCTGTATCAAACACAAATGATGGTTGGTGGCCTTGATGCAATCAGCTCTGATTGAGCAGTCTCTACTTGTTCTTGTTTTGATGGTCTTCCTTATATTCTGTGGGAGCAGAGTTTAGACAACAGGATTTGAAATACAGGAGAAACTTTTTAGAAGAATAAATGGGTATCATATTGCTCAGAACTATTAGTTCTCCAGTCAAGGGTTTTTACAAAATCTTTATTTTCATCTACCTGAAAGGCAGAATGAGAGAGAGACAGACGAGGGAGAGAGAGAAATAGAGAAATAGAGAAATAGAGAGAGAGAGAGAGAGAGAGAGAGGGAGAGAGGGAGAGAGGGCGAGAGGGAGAGGGGGGGGGGGAGAGAGTGAGGGGGAGAGAGGGAGAGAGAATATGAATCTTCTATTTGCCAATTTACTCTCCAAATGCCTATAACAGCCAGGGTTTAGCCATGCCAAGGAGCTCCAATGTGAGTCTTCCACATGGGTAACAGGGACCTAAGACCTTGATCCATCATCTTCTGTTTAACCTGCTGCACTGCAACACCTGCCAGAAACTGGTAAATTTCCTGCCCAGTAAAGAGTTTCAAGGACGGTTCCATTCTGGAAACTAGCAATAGCCTCATATAAAACCGAGAACACAAATAGGCAAGCATTTCTAAACATCATAATCTAATCTACCCCCAAATCCTACCACTTTGTAAAAGATGGCTATCTCCTACATCTCTCTTTTGTTCTTTTTTAAAAATTTTATTTAAGTTACATGTTTTGTGATTTTCATATATACAGATTTAGTAACATAGTGATAATTCCCACTCTACCCTCCTGCTCATTTCCAACCCTTCTTTCTTCTCCCTCTCCCATTTTGACTCTTAATTTTTACAAAAATCTTCTTTCAATTTACTTAATGATCGTAAAGTTGACCCTATGTAAGAGTTCAACAAATAGTAAGAAGGAAAAAAAAATAAAAACACTGTTCCTCAACAGAAGATACAAGGACAATAAACAATTATCGAATCTCAAAATGTCCACTTCACCACAATAAATATTTTAGGAACTCTATTAATTACCTCAGATCAGGGAAAACTTCATCTTTCCTTTTTATCCTTTAGTTCCCCACCCAGCTATGCTGTATATACAAAATCACAATTCACTCTTTCTACTTCAGTGCCATTTACAGTGATGCTGAATTGTCAATTTCATGATCTCTTAAATCCTTCTTAATGGCCAATGACATTTTCTAAGTATTTGTTTTTGAACTAGACACACACACACACACACACACAAAAATTAAACAGTAGGATATAAAGGACTTTGAAAGTTCTCATTTTTCTTATATCAAGCGAAGAGGGAGAAAAAAATCCTGCAATTCCTTTTGCAATGTGGAGAGAAAACAAATAATGTGCCTTCCAAGACAGTCACATAATTTTTCTTCAGGGTGGATGACTACTCAGAAAAATAACATTACAGGTTGTTTTGGTATAAAAAGTCAGGGCTTGCTTCAACAAGAAAATAGAGAGCAGAATTTCATACATAATAAATTGTGAAACCAATAAGAGCAAGTAGAAAGAAAAGTAGGTTCCAGTGCTTGCAGCATGTATCAGATCATGAATCTCAACAATTATCATGGAAGGTGAGAGTTGAAGACATCGGCATCTGATGACAATTGGCTGTCTGTGAAAAATCTCAAGAATGAAAATGACTGACAGACTATTATAAATAATTTTCTAACAATAGTGTACTAATAATATTCTAATTTTCAATTTATTATTTTCTATATTAGGCTACCCAAAATGGTTTCAAAAAACTGCAAAATTCAGGACCCTTGTGATTTACCTAGAGATTCAAAGGAAAAGCTTACGGAGTTGTTTATATCAATGCAGAATGCAGAAGAGATGGGGCCAGCATTGTGCCATAATAGGTAAAGCCACTACATGCAATACAAGCATCCCATATGGTCAATGGTTCATGTTTCACCTGCCCCCTTTCTCGCTCAGCTAACTCTTTCTAACGGCCTGGGAAAAGCAGCGGAAGATGGCCTGAGTGTTTGGGTCCCTGCCACCCATGTGGGAGACCTGGAAGAAGCTCCTGGCTCCTGGCTTCAGTGTGGCCCAGCGCTTGCTGTTGTGGCCAACTGGGGGGTGAATCAGTGGATGAGAGACCTCCTTGTCTCTCCCTCTCTCTCTGCAACTTTGACTTCCAAATAAATAAATAAATCTATGACAAAATATGGGTAGGGGGAGGACACAGAGAAGAGACCAGAAGATTAAGAGTTCAGTGGAAATGTGAAATCAAGATGAGATGACTGGGGAAAATGTAGATTCCACATGTCCCTATATAGTGAAAGGGAAATGTTGGATTTCTATGATAGTAGAGATGAAAACTAACGTAAATAAGAATAACCTCACAAAGCTAGAAGGTTTAAAAATACCCAGGCAACTGACATTTAAGTGACATATCATTCTATAACTGTGGTCACAGGAATGCTTATTAGGGGCCACTATTGGCACAACCCCTTAAGCCCCTGTCTACAGCACCAGCATCCCATGTGGGTGCTTGTTCAAGTCCTGGCTGTTCCACTTAAGATCTCACTCCCTGCTAATGTGCATGGGAAAGCAGCAGAAGATAGACCAGGTGCTTGGGCCCCTGCACCTATCTAGGAGACCCAGAAGAAGCTCCTGGCTCATGACTTCTGCCTGGCCTACCCCTGTCTATTGTGGCCATTTGGGGAGTGAACCAGCAGAAGGAAGATCTCTCCCTCTCTCCCCCTCTCTCTCTGTAATTCTGACTTTCAAATAATAAATAAATGTATTCTTAAAAGTGCTAATTAATAGACTAACACCTCTTCCTTCTTTCTCTTTCTTTCTTCCTATTTTGTTCTTGCTCTATTTTTAAATTTTTCCTTATTCCTCAATATGTTGGCATTTATAATTAATTCTGTCTTGCATTTAAGCTTAGAAGTAAACTTAGAATTACTTTATTATCATTTCTTTTCATTTTTTCTATTAAATATCAAGTAAATATATAATAGTGAAGTAATTTTAAAGATCATACTTTTTAGCACAACCTATATTCAAACAATTTAAGCATGGTTTGAAAAGGTATGTAAGGAGACATCTTGCAAGAGTTTGAGGCCAGATGTTTTACTTGCTTGGTCTCTATTAATGACCCCCTCTTGGTAAGAAAACTCTGTGAGACACAAGTTTTACCTCAGCAACATGATGATAACAGTGGAACTGCAATCATTTGTAACTGGGGGCATGAGGTTGGATCAGACTGCAAGCTGTGAAGAATATACATATGTGTGTAAGTATATATACATATTTACATATACCCCACATATATGCATTTTTCACACATCTGTATATGCCACACACATAAGTACTGCTAACATAGAGTATATTCCTAATATGAATACATATATAAGTCCTATGTATTTAGATTATATACCAGTATCTATTTTTATAATTTTATTTACTTTTTTAAAATTGAACTAAAAGAAATATGAGAGCTCTTTCCAACTAATCAACAGCTCATTAGAGAAAGCATAATTTATTCTTAATTAGTACAACAGCTTTTACAAGGATCATACCATTTGATTGTTTATGAATTAAGACTAAAATTATCTTTTTAACAAAGATAAGCTCCTCCTATTTAAACAATAAATGCTCTTGAAACTACATGCCTATTATATTTAGTTTAAGCAAAATATTAATGCACATAATATTTACTGGTTTTAATTATTTTTCAGTTAGTAATAAACTTGTGCTATTAACCAGTCATTACTATGTCAACTATAGTTCTTCATCAATGATTCTGAATCAAAGTTTTGGTAATTAATTAGATAACAGAAATATTTCAACTTATATTTAATATCTATGAAGTTATGAAGATCACAAACATCATTAAGGAATTTGAAAGTTAAAAGAGGTCCATCTATTCCACACATTCTTTAACACCAGTTCAAATGTCCTTACTTCTCCAACTTCTCTGTACTTCTATTTAGCATTTATTTAATGCCTACTCTATGCCAGATCTCATGTCAAACTATGGGGCAGAACTAAATATAAAACTGCTTTTCAGAGTCTTTCAGTTAATAATGCCCTTCATTTACATGAGATTGGACTTCCTCAGTGCTTGGCAGTTGGATGACACTCAGTAAACTTTAGTCTTCTGCTCTCTCCTTCCCTTACTTCACGCTGTGGGTACTTTTGTTGAAGCCTCGATGTAACACACTACATCAGAAGTATTTGCTGCATGAAGGTTCCCTCTAGAATGAGCCTGTAGGTTTCCTTTCAGAATAGTCATTTCTTAATTATTCAAAAAGAGACAGAAGATAAAAGAGAGAAAAGAGTGATCTGGAAGATATCAAAAATAGAACTACAATTCAATATATTTCTTTCCTCCAATGACATGTGGAGCTTCCTGAGAAAAAGTAAAGCTTTCAGAATTTAATTAACATCTAAAGATGGGAGCTTTAAAAAAGGCCAATCACGGACATGGGAGTGACTGTGGGAGAGTCACAACCAAGGTCACTTAAAACAAGGTAAAACTTGCAAATACAATCGTTTGGTGCTGTGGGTGGGTGGCTGTTGCGGGAGGAGCAGGTGGGCAGCCACATGAGGAAGGGCTATCATTGGATGTATCCTGGACAATGTTTACTCTTTTCTTCCTTCCTCCAACAAACAGTGATTGTCCCTATGCAACCGAAGTATCCATGTCGAGTATTTCAAGAAAACCAGAACACAGCAATTCCTTTTTCCTGAAGCCAAAATTAGAAAAAATATTTTCAAATGAGACACCTCCTCTTATGCCAGTTGTTCTTACTGAAAACTAAAAGAAACCAGTGGAAACTGAGATGTGAAATTTCTGGGGCAAAAACAAACACCTCGGTTTTATTAACTCTTGCCATATCGGGTGGATTTTCTCTCACTTCTGAACCATTAACTTATTGAATAGAACAAGACTAATTTTCTTTAAAAGTAATAACATTGTAAAAGAAAAATGCTTTTATAAACTTCAGAGATTGTCAATTCCCAGGAGAGGAATTACAAAGTGACAATGAACATATTTTTATAGTTTAATCTCATTTGTAATTGAAAGTGTGATAGTCCCTTCTTCATTTACAAATGGGTCCAAATAAAAATAAAAGCTGAAAAAAGTCCTTTTTTTACCAAAACCATGTTGGCAGGCAATAAAAATGAAAAATTTTGTTCTCTTCTAATGAGATTATAAATTAAAAAAAAATTTTGAAGGTAATTTTCCAACATGAATCAACTTTTTGTTTAAGATTTATATATTTATTTGATAGGCAGAGTTACAGAATAGGCAAAGAGAGAGAAATAGAGGTCTTCCATCCTCTGGTTCACTCCCCAAATGGCAGCAATGGCCAGGCCTGGGCCCATCCAATGCAAGGAGCCAGGAGCTCCTTCTGAGTCTCCCACGTGGGTGCAGGAGCCCCAGGACTTGGGCCAACTTTTACTGCTTTCCCAAGCCATAGCAGAGAGCTGGCTCGGAACAGGAAAAGCTGGGACTTGAACTGGCATCTCCCAGTACTGCAGTCAGCAGCTTTAACCACTACGTCACAGTGCTGGCCCCTCAACTGTTTTTTAAGACATTCTTCAGGGCAGCTTTGTGGCATAGTAGGCTAAGCCTTCGCCTGTAGAACCACCATCCCATATCAGCACCAGTTTGTATCCAAGCTGCTCCACTACTGATTATACTCTCTGCTAATGGCCTGGGAAAGCAGTGAAAGATGGCCCAAGTGCATGGACCCCTGAACCCACGTGGGAGACACAGAAGAAGCTTCTGGCTCCTGGCTTTGCATTGGTGCAACTCCAACATTGCAGCCATTTGGGGAGTGAACAAGCAGACCAAAGACCTTTCTTTCCATCTCTCCCTCTCTCTGTTACTCTACCTCTCAAATAAAGAAATGAAATCTTGAAAAAAAAAAAAAAAGACATTCTTGCACTCACCCGACAATTTACAACTTTCTTGGAGAAATGCACGTGGACTGAGAGGGCTTTAATGTTCTCCTCTGTGTGACTGAACTTCACACACGCTTCTTCTCCACTCTGGGCCATTCTTAGCATCTGCCTTAGAAAACTTGCAATAGAACTTTCTTGTTCAGCACCTTGAGCTGCAAATCCTTTTAAAAGCCTCTTGGTAGTTTTACAATCCAGGAATAATTTTTTTTTTAATCAAGGACCTAGAATCTATCTCTTTCAAATATAAAAAGTTTCTATGGAGGGATAAAAGCCTAAATTTGTGCTGGAGTCTTGCTTCAAATTATAAAACTACCTCCTGTCAGAAAGAAAAGGAAAGCTTATTTTTCCTTTGCATAAAGGCGATTAACAACACTGGGGGCCTCTGGTCTCACTTTCACCCCAACGTGTAAAAGTCCTTCCAAGTTCGTTTCCGCAGAGCTGAGTGCAGGCAGCATTCTGGTGTCTCTCCAGGCCTGTCATCACTTTAAATAGTGTTCTCTTGAGTCAGGCACTGCATCGAAGCAGGTAAAGTGGCCGCCTCCGGCAGCGCCCCATTCCTAATAGGCATTGGTTTGAGTTCCAGCTGCTCCACTTCCAATTCTGCTCTCTGCTAAGGAGGCTGGAAAAGTGCGGAAGATGACCCAAGTGCTTGGGTCCCTGAACCTGCATAAGAGACTCGGAAGAAATTCCTGGCTCTCAGTTTTGGATTAGCCCAGCTCTGGCTATGGCAGCCATTTGGAGAGTGAACCAGCAAATGGAAGATTTCAGCCCCTCTCTGTCTCTCTCTCTTTCTCTCTCTATAACTCCATCTTTTAAATAAATAAATCTATAAAAAAGTATTTCTCTTAGCATGTTTAACTTTTTTTAAAAAAAGATTTATTTGAAAGTCAGAGTTACACAGAGAGAGGAGAGGCAGAGAGACAGAGAGAGAGGTCTTCCATCAGCTGGTTCACTCCCCAGATGGCCACAATGGCCAGAGCTGTGTTGATCCAAGCCAGGAGCCAGGAGCTTCCTCTAGGTCTCCACGTGAGTGAGGGGCCCAAGCACTTGGGCCATCCTCTACTGCTTTCCCAGGCCATAGCAGAGAGAGCTGGATCAGAAGTAGAGCAGTCGGGACTTGAACCAGCGCCAACGTGAGATGCCGTTACTGCAGGCGGCAGCTTTACCCGCTAAGCCACAGTGCCAGCCCCAAGCATGCTTAACTTTGTCCGGTGCACTTTGCTTTGACAGCATAAAAAAGATCTGTAATACTGTATTACCTAATATATTATTTATGACAGCAGAAAGCAAAATTTTTGGTCAATATTAATTACTTAAATAAATTATAAATATTATAAAACAAAATATGTCAGATAATTGACCCTTTACAAATATGCATACACAGTTTTTTTAGGTAGAGAAAGAAATTGTAAAATAAAAATATCTTGCATCTATTCCCATTTTGGGAGTCAACATTTTGTTAGCTAATTAAGGTTTCAAGTAGGGCAATAAGACAGAATAGAACCATGATCTGCAACTAAAAATACAAAGAGGAGTACAAGGGGACATTACAAATCTTTCAGAGATGCAGAATTCTATGCAATTGATGAACGTGACATTCTGCAACTGTTTATATAACAAGCTAAACCACTGAAAAATGAGGCCCTGCCAGTCTCAACAGATAACAACTGAAGAAGAGAAAATCAGTGACAATGACATGACAGATGCTTTCAATGATTTGAATAGCCCAAGATTAAGAGATACTGTAGCACAAGGGCCCTCAAGCTTGGCTGCCCACTGGAATCAACTTGAGGCATAAAAAAAAAAAAAAAAAAAAAAAAACTGATGTCTTTGGGTGTGGCCTTGATATCAGTGATCTTTAAAGCTCTGGGATGTTTCTAATATGCAGAAAAATTGGGAATTCACTGACATTACCAATATTCCTGGTCTCCTGCATACGTCGCTCAATACTCAGTTCTCTATTTTCATGTGCACATTGTCTTGATTTCTAGATTGAGATGCAGCCTGTGGGTTTTATTTACACACTGCAGCCAGATTAACCTCCTTATTCCCTTTATTTCAAAACACTGCAAGCCTTGCTTTGCAGGATTCTGTGATAACTGAGATTTGTCAGTAACATTATTTGATTCAGTAACTACAGACCCAGGCAAGGTGAATGACCATCATCAAGAGAAGCCCAAGATCCAAGGCCATCCTTCAACCCTAACAAAACTCTCTACAGCCTCCACATTCCCTATCTCCCACTGTTCCCCAATTACTGAAACCACCAGATCTTCTGGAATTTACAGTTAGTTATCAGCAGAATTCTTTATCTGCATAATTCATTTTCGCTTACAGCCCTAATAAGGTGGATTTTGGTCTTTGAAACAATAGGTTGTTTCTCATCTCACTTTAGACCACTAACCTCTAACTTTCCAAAACCTCTTCAGAATCTCCTGTAATCAGATATTACCCAGGACCTCTCTTAATTTCAGTCAATTCCTTCCCTTTCTTGAGAATTTTAGCTCCTAGGTTACTCTCTCTGTCATTAACTTGTAGGGTTTGGTAATTCCAATAATTTTCCCAATAAGCTGGCCTTACAATTTCTTGATCTCTTTTTTCCAGGATGTTTTCTCCACCCTATCACTTCATTTCCACTTTCACCTTTTTGTTTAACCAGATTAAACTGTTTGGCCCACAATAATGGCAGCTATTTGGCATACACTCAACTCCCTACTCATTGTACTTACATGACAAAAGGTCAGTCTCTGTTACAAACAATATACAACACGCATGGTTTCTGCTTGCTTGCACACAATGAAGCATGGCAAGAGAAAAAGACAGCTGTGCCAACTGGGGGAACTCTATCCATATTATAGTATGTTATATTAATTTAAAAACATTGAAATCATCCTTGATTGTACTCTTTCAACTGTAAATTTCATCACCTGTCAATCCCATAAATTAAACTATCAATGTATATACAGAATCTGATTATTTATCACTACCTACCGCTCTCACTGGGGCCTGAACCACTGTTATTTCCCATGGCTATTATTCCTCAGTGGTTTCACTGTTGCTTCCATCAACACAGCACCCAGACCAGCAACAATTATCTCTTTTTCTTCTTGCTTATATCTATATACTTGAATAATATTTTATATTTTACTAATATTATTCATACATGTTATCTGGTTAGATGCTGCACACATTCCACGTTAGGGAAAATGAGGCTCAGAAAAGTGAAGGGCCTTGTGCAATACATAAAACATATAAGATGCGGCCGACACCACGGCTCACTAGGATAATCCTCCGCCTGCGGCGCCAGCACACGAGGTTCTAGTCCCGTTCAGGGCGCCGGATTCTGTCCCGGTTGCCCCTCTTCCAGGCCAGCTCTCTGCTGTGGCCCGGGAGTGCAGTGGAGGATGGCCCAAGTCCTTGGGCCCTGCACCCCATGGGAAACCAGGAGAAGCAGCTGGTTCCTGGTTTCTGATCAGCGTGGTGTGCCGGCCGCAGCGTGCCGGCCGCAGCGGCCATTGGAGGGTGAACCAATAGCAAAAGGAAGACCTTTCTCTCTGTCTCTCTCTCTTACTGTCCACTCTGCCTGTCAAAAAAAAATATATATATATATACATATATATATATATACACACATATAAGATGCAAGGGTGAACTCTGAACCTGTATTTTGCCACTTCAAGTCTAGTGAATTTTTTTTTTTTTTTTTTTTTTTTACAAAAAATCCCAGGAAAGTGACTAGTTGAACTCAATTTTTTGGTCAGAGTGTCCCTAAAAGATACAAGTCCACTGTTCCACTCACAAACCTCCAATAGCTTCTATTCTCCAGTAAAAGCCAAAGCTCTCAGTATCGCCTACTACTGTATTTATTACACTCTCTGATCTAACCTCCTATGAATGTTCTCCTTTGTTTCCTGTACATAAGTTACACTAGCCTCCTTGCTGTCCCTCCCACAGCTTACACACACTTTCACCCCATGGTCTTTATTCTTTCTATTCTTGAGGTTAGAATCCTCCTCTCAAAGTACTCATAGAATTCATTCTTTCACCTGCATCAAATGCCGTCTTCTCAGTGACAACCTTAGAATTGTAACTTCTCTTTCCTAGCATTACCGACTCCACATCCATGTTCCATAGCATTTACAATCATTTATCACATCATACAATTTATCTTTGGTTTCTCATTACCCTTCTTCCATTACTATGCTTGTTCCTAAGAATAGTACCTTAAAAAGTGAGGCAATGAGTAGATAATTTTAATTATTACCTAACAATTAGCCCTCCATATATTAGTATTTATTAACAACTCTAAAATCAAGATATATATGTATATATATATTAATTATTCAAAAGGCAGAGTGTCAGAGGGAGAGGAAGACACACACACATACTGCACAATTAGAGAGGGAGAGAAAGACAGAAACAGAGACAGAGACAGAGAGAGATATCTCCCATCTGCTGGTTCATATTCCATATACCCACAAGAGCCAGGGCTGGACCATACCAAAGCCAGGGGCCAGAGACTCCATATGGATCTTCCACACAGGTGGCAGGGGTCCAAGTACTTAGGCATTATTTGCTGCCTTCCCAAATGCATTAACAGAATCTGCACAGCAAGCAGAGAAGCTGGGACTTAATATGGAATGCTGGCATCATGAGAACAAGCTTAAGCCTCTGATCACAATGCTGGCCCCTCACAAGCTTTATCTTCTATTCTCTAGAATGTGTTCATAAAGGGCCTTTTAAACCTTCAAACTCCAGTAAGAATATTTTTGTATTATAGCATTAAAATATACCCTATAGTTATTATAGAAAGCACTTAGCTGGAAGGGTACAAGATAGAACCATATTTTAAATTAGCATAGTATTCAGAATCTCATGAAAGTTGAATTAATGTATTGGAAAAAAATGAAATAAACCCTTGGTTTTTCAATATTATACACATGTATATTTTTCTCTTCTCATTTTTCAGATTTTCTTTCCAGTTCTCACCTCTTTTGTATTTTGTGGTTTATTTTAACAGATAATTGGAATTTCTTTAAATGCTACAATCTAAATACTGATACTCAAGCAGACATGGTGTAGAATATACCATTAACATTAGAAATGACACTAATTTTAGGTTTCTAAGTTATTATATCCTTCACTGCAATCAATATAATTCAAAGTAGATATTTTAAGATAATGAAAAAAATATAGGCTAGAAAAGAAGGGCTTGACCCTAACCATCTTATGCCATTACAGGGTGTAGGTAGGGTCTCTGCTAAATGAGTTTTAACCTGTGCTTCTTTCCACCTAATGACTTCATGAGCTCCTTTAATTCAAAACTCTCTAGAGGATGCCCAGTCTGACAGTGATAAGGTTAAAATACTGCTAATGGTCTATGAATTCTGGCACTGAATTGCTTTGTATTTCTGTAGAGCTCTTCTTGAAAAACCCCATTATGGAGTGACAAAAACATTTTTAAACACGAACAAATTGAAATCTACATAACTGATCCTGAAGTATTTCTAAGTGACTTATTTCAGACTTTAAACATTTCATTATTTAGCTGAAAATGCACTAGTTTGCTTAACAAAATACCCATGTCACTATTATAAGAATAAAAATGAATTTTATATAGGCTAACATCATACATTTCTCTAATACTGAACTACATATTAAATTAAAAACTAAAAAACAATCATTCAAGCAGAGCAATTTTCTGCATTACTGCTTGAATTTCTGAAAATAACCTTTTACATAATGGAAAATTGAAAGAAAATAGTATTACTAAATAAGATATTTTCATATCTGGCAATCTAGGACAAGGAAAGACTGTATGGTTATCATTAAATAAGAAGACTTCTCATTGAAACATTTTCTTTAGACGTATTTTAATGCAGAAATATTCACTCTAAAGGTTACTTTGTCAAAAATTTCCACCTATTTGTTTGACTGTTCTATCTGTTCTTCATTTTTGTTTTTTAAACATTTATTTATTTGAAAGTCAGAGTTACAAAGAGAGGGAGAGACACAGCGATATCTTCCATCCACTGGTTCATTCTCCAGATGCCCACAACAGCCAGGGATGGGCCAGGCTAAAGCCAGGAGCCAGGAGCTTCATTTGGGTCTCCCACATGGGTGGCAGTTGCCCAAGCACTGGGACATCTTCCACCGGTTCTCCCAAGCCATGAGTATGAAGCTAGTTCAGAAGTGGGGCAGACAGGACATAAATCAGTGCCCATATTGGATATCGGACTCATAGGCAAAGGCTTTACCTGCTACACCACAACATCAGCCCCTCTTTATTTATTATAACAAAATTACTACGTCC